TGTTAAGTATTTACTTATTTAATAAATAATTTTTTTTATTTTTATAAGATATCTAGGTATCTTAATTATATTAATACTATACATGAAAAAAAATATTTTATCTTAAAAAATAAATCTTAGTAATATTCTATATATAATTTAGGATTTTAATTATAATATAAATAAATTTAATGATTTATATGTAAATATATATGAGTTAGGGGATAGGAATGTAAATCTATCCTTACAGAGAGTGAAGTGGAGGCGAACGGAGAATAAAATTCGATTTGGTGGCTTCCACTTTGTAGTTGGCATTATTATCCATCAATGAGAGGAATTCGATTGGTCTACTGGCGGGACGACGACGGAGAGAAGCTAGGGTTTTCCGACAGCTAGGGCTTATGAAATCCCCAACCTTATGATTTGTTTGCTCACTGCTGAACTAGAATATCACTTCTTATAGGTCAAATTTCCATAAAATACCGCGTCTTGCTGCTCAATCTCTTAACTTTTATCTTTACCCGTGTTCCTTCTCTCTTCATTATGATGAGAGCAAAGTTTTGATTCTATTTGATTTCTTGGTTGTTTATTTGTAGGCATTAGAAGTGTTAAATGAGACTTTCTGGAAGCTATGAATATTGAGTCGATTACTATGGTGGAACTGAGAAGGATGGGTATGTATGATGCAAACCATCAAATTGGCATGTGGGCTGATTGCCTCAAAGCTGAAAGTAGCCAAAATACTAGTTCTTCTGCGATTTTGGAGGAGCAAGATGGGGGAATGGAGAATTTAGTAGGATTGCCTTGATTCCCTTCTTTTCTGGGATTGTTTATTTAGGGATTCTGCGTTTTTTCCCTTTAAACTTTATGATGGTCATGTTTCTACAGTCCGAAGATGCTCGTCTTGGGATAGTTGGACCGTCGAAGCCTTATGAGCAAGAAGAAAGCAAGCCTTCGGATAAGGTAATACAGCTTATGATTTATGTTGTGAGTGATATAATACTGTAAAATGGATTCATATGATATATATTTTTATTTTTTGGGGTATTTTCAGTTATGTATGAGCTATTAGCTCCTCAGGTGCTATGCCAGGTTTTTTATTTTTATTATTTTTATTTATTTTTTATTTTTTATGATGAGATCTACTTCTTTTTGGTGTGAATGGCATTTTTGGAACTTTTCAGGCTCTTCTCTTGCCCTCCACCTGTTAGCCTCATAGGAGGTTGGAATATTAGGCGGTGCAAATTGAGCCCTATATATTATGGATGCCCATAAACTCAAAAGCTTAAGTTAATGAGTAAAAGGCACTATTATTGTATCAGGAACTTAGATCTAATTATCACTTTCAATATGATTCTATTTTTACTATTATGTGCATCTCAACGACTGCTGATGGCTCCCTTTATTCTTCACGTTGACCATCAACCTTACTCAAAGGGAAGCTTTTTAATACCATCAAGTGTCTTGCACTAAGAGCTCTTAAACTATATGGAGCTCAACCATGATAAAAGCCTTCAAGACCCATCATAGCCATAAATTGTACATGGAATACTTGATCTCAATTGAACTATCAATTTTTAATATTTTGACATTGCTTCTTAGGATGGCGGAACATTGAGGGGAAGGGGTGAGAGTGGAGGCGGCTAAATTGAGCTTACATGCATATGTGGACTCCCATCATCCCAAAAAGTTTTAAGTCCGTAGGTTAGGATTGCTATCATTATATCAGGAACAAAGCTCTCATTTTCACTTTCAATATGGGAATATTTCCACATTAATGTCTATCTCAAATATTCATGCACCCACCCACATGCATTAAAGCATGTAATATCAACAACTTAAAATTTTGTTATTCATGATAATTTGTTTTTCATTTGATTGCATATATTTTATCTGAAAAAGGAATGGTTTAAATATCAAGTAAGCAAACTTTAGCATTGTTTTTATCAAAATAAATTTTTATTTCTCTTTTACTCGGACATGATCTTTTATATTTAGTACATTTAATCTACATTTTGATTTGTTCAATTAATTTATTTTGATCAATTTAACCTATATTAATGAAGGCCCTATTGATTCTTGCATTTTATATCCTTTAATAATCAATTGTGATATACAGGTATGTTCTTGCATGAACATGGTATTTTTGGAAACTTATTTATTCATGGCCACATTCGGACTCCAAATACATAGAATAATATTTTGATCAAAATAGATGTACATTTTAGTCTATGTAGCGTACATTCTATATGAAGCATTTCTCCTAATAGTTGGGAGAAGACTAATAATGATGATCATCATGATTTTACTTGAAAACATGGTTTCATGTATAGGTAATTAGACGCTTAGCTCAAAATCGGGAGGCTGCAAAAAAAAGTCGACTTCGAAAAAAGGTTTGTTATAAGAATAGAAAATTGGTGCGCTCGTAGTTTGTAAGAAAAAAATTCCCTTGAATGTCTGGAAGTTTAATTTTTGGTATTTATATAGGCTTACATTCAACAACTTGAATTAAGCCGTATAAAGTTGGTCCAACTTGAGCAAGAGGTCGATAAAGTTAGGCACCAGGTATGTTGTATAATTTTTCATGTCCAAATCATCTATCATATCTCTTGATGCTTAGTATCAAACCCTGAAGGTATTTTGCAGGGTGTGTACATTGGTGAGCATATAGACAATTCTATTATTGGATATTCAGGATCTATTAATCCAGGTATATTTGTTAATAAAATCTCATCTATTTCAATTTTATGTTATTTGATTCTGCATTGGATGTTATAGATCAAGAAAATGGGATTATCATTCAATTGGTGAATTATAATATTCTTTATTGTTTTATTACAAATTTGATAGTGACTATTTCATCTCTGGTTTCATTTATGTATAGTTTTGTGATTGTAGAGAAGTACGGGCCTGATGGCACATTATTATTTTTTTGTTTGGGTAGCCTTTAGTTTCCGAACATGCCGTAACAATACGAGGGATGCAAGCTACTTTAATTTTGAAAATTTTATAAGAGATTTTTTAACAAAAACTTTTAAACATCCTTTATGGAAGGGTTTGTTAGTTTAAGGCACACCATTTAGGTTTGAATGTTTTAGCACTACAGAATTTTCTTATGAAATTTATCCAAACACAAATACTACACGTTCAATTTCAAGCCAATGTGAAAGCTATAGAAATAACAATGCACAATGAAAATTATCAATGATATATAGAAGTTGAGAGTATGATAACTAGATACGCAACCAATGAAAAATATAGAAATTAAGAGTACACAATTGTATGGATTAATGCAAATAATTTTTTAGGTGATTAACTACAATCTAAAAGATTTCTCTCACTAATATTAGAAGGCATACGCTTTACAATCCTGTAAATTACACCAAATAAGATGTAGATGAACAGTCAACTAGGTAAGTAATTTACTGTTAATGGCAATGTTAATGATAAACTCAACCTCATTAGTTAATTTAATTAAGCTATTCACAAAAGTTGTTGAGCTAGAGATAACAGGCATATAATATAGTGGTGATGAGTAGAAAATCAAGCTAATGTGAATGACTGATTTATCAATATATTGATATAAGTTAATTTGAACTAATCTAATATCAAGTAGCTAAACAATCTATCTACTTGCATGCAATATTATGGTGATTATGAGATGACGTTACTTGTAAGAGCAATTAATCTATTAGCGCAATCATGATATATTAACTGTAACATCATAACATATAAGTTGATGATCAGATAAACATGAAAGCATATGAAATAAAGTAAATTAACAAATAAATAAAAGCTAAAGCTAAGCTAGAGCAACAAGAATCACAACAATATTTACATAATTCAGCCTCCCCATTGTCTTACATCCATGCCTAATATCCAACCTAAATTGGGATTCAACAACACAAGCTTGCATCCACTAGATCGCTGTTTTGCATGCAAACTGGGGGTGAAATTGTCACATCCTTTTACTTTATAGGAGAAGAGCACCCTTAACTTCGTTAGGCAAGGGTACCTGCTCTAAGCTACAATTAACAATATTCTAGGAAAGACACCTTCCCAAGTGATCTAACACTTTTGTGTTGGCTAGGCTATCTCAAAATTTTACAATCTAGATACAAATGATTGTATGGTACAAAGCAATTGCACAACTAAATATGTTTTTAAAAATGAACTTGCTCTATGATGCATCCGAAGGATGTTGGTAGCTTTTTCAATATTGTTCCTTAATGCTTAAAGACTTTCATTTTGATATGAAAATATTTGTAGAATTATTATCTTAGGTGTAGAGTAGTTGCATTTATAGAATAAAATAGGTGAATACAAGCTACACTAATAAGCATTTCCGATTGGGCAAAATTGGTGGCTTTTTCAAATATTTTTCCTTAAATCTTTAGAAAAAATCTCATTTTGATATATAAATATTTGTTGAATTATTATCATCTTAGGTGTAGACTAGTTATTTATAGAATAGAATAGGTGAATATAGGATGCATCAATAAGCATTTCCAATTGGACAAAATTTGATAAATAATATTTCAACGTCTACATGAAACTAGCATTACCTGCTAAAAAAAGTCTTCTAATAGTTTACGGAGGCTCCTAATGCATTTTAATGATTAAGGTTTGTGTCATAAAAATAATTCATATTTTTCCAAAAATTTTATCGCTTTATGGACTAGATGATGCACTTAATGCGGTCCACAAACTTAGCGGAGACCTTAGGTTAGCATTGACCTGCTAAGGGTCAATTTTGGAGAAAGATAGCTAATATTTTGAAAATTTATAATTAATTTATTTTAATGAAAAGTATGTCATATGATATATGAAATCATATAATAATTCAATTAATCCAACAAAATAGAAAATATATGCAAGTTTATTAATTATAACATAGTTGTTTCATTAACTTTTTTATGATAAAATTAACATGAATTTTAAAATATATCAAATGAGTTACAAAAAATTGGAATTTTGTGCAAAAGCATATATGACTTAATATGCTACCATAAATATTTTAAATATATTTATAATTTTTTATAATATATGGTAACTATCCTTAGTTAACCTAATTAATCATGATATGCATGAATAATAAATCTAATGATGTAATTATGAAACTTAAGCTTATATAAACTTTTAAATAATATCAGCAGTTAATTCCTGAATAAAACAAAATTTTTATCACACACTTCATTCCATTCTCAAATTTAAGAGAAAATTTTATAATATGGTGGTGAGACCTGCAATGTTATGGTGCAAAATGTTGGCCATTAAAAAAGAAGCATAAAATTAAGTTAAGTGGTAAAGATGAGGATGCTCAGGTGAATGAATGGCTTTATACACTTAGAGACAAAATGTGAAACGAGTATATATGTGAAAAGGTTGGACTAGCTCCAGTGCAGAAAAGATTGAGAGGGTCACCTTTAGATGGTTTGGTCACATAAAGCATCGGCCTTTCCATAACTTGATTAGTAGGGTAGATGTATTAGATCCTGCCTATTTTAATAAAGGTAGAGGTGGATTTGGTTATAAAGTATTAGAGATGATCTTAGTTTATTAGATTCAAATGATAATTTGACTTTTAATAAGGCACAATTGAGAAAAAAGATTGATATAGCTGACTCCATGTAGTGGGATAAAGGCTTGATGATGATTATGATTACTAATCAGTATGATTTATGTGGATAATAATTCTTATAATTTGAATAAGTAGAAAATAAATCCAAATAATTTGTTGAATTATATAAAAAATAATTTAAATTAATTTTGATTGTGTTCGCCTTCTTTGAAACTCAATGGATTTATAATAATAAATTCTTAGGCATACTCACTACGCTTCTAAACTTTGGAATGACCCCGTCCATCATTTAGTTTATTGATTTCATCCACTTGAGCTCATTTTCTAGTTGCAATAGCACCAAAGTTAATCCAATTTGCACGATTTCATCTTCATGGTTACTAAAGGCTATTGCAGAACAACTGGTCAGTCCTTTGGGTGGTGCTCTTTTTACAGGAACAGAGCATCGACAGGTTGCTTATTGCTGAGTTAACCATGATTTGAAGTTCATCTTCTTCTGGTCTCCAGGTTACATTTGTATGTGCCATGAAGAATATTCATGATAAATATATTAATCCTTATTATTAAGAGGCGCTTAGGTGGTGTTTCTTCGAGCCGTACATAGGAAAAACACCCGGAAAAAATCTTTCCTCTTTTGCTCGTACTCAGGTACTGTGGTGTGCTTTAGTAGCAAAGTTTGCACATCAGCCAAGATAGAACGAGTGCAGAGTCTCATGCAAAGAGAAGAGTTTGCCAGGCCTAGTTATCTACTCAAAAGCTGACAGAACAATAGGAATTCCTCTCCTTTAAATGCTATTGGACTGGCTTAGCATTATTAGGTCTTTGATCTCTTTGTTATTTGTCATCCTGTTAATTTAAGTGCTGGTTTCAAGTCTATATAATTATCAATTAATACTTCTATATTATTCTTCTCCTACATTACTTTTGTTATTATGTAGGCATTGCTGCTTTCGAGTTGGAATATGGACATTGGATTGAAGAACAAAACAGGCAGATTTGTGAGCTTAGAGCTGCTCTTCAAGGTTCTGCATCTGATATAGAACTCGGTATTCTTGTTGAGAATGTAATGAAGCACTATGATGATCTATTCCGCATGAAATCAATTGCTGCCAAGTCGGATGTGTTTTACATTGTATCTGGCTTGTGGAAAGCTTCTGCAGAACGTTTTTTCCTTTGGATTGGCGGCTTTCGGCCTTCAGGTCTTCTAAAGGTAATTGAAAGAGATCAATGCACATTTTAAAACCATCATATAACAATTTCCTCCTTTTATCCTATTGCGTATTTGGTGAATGGTAAAGTTATATATATGGTTATTCACTTCATCCAGATCCAAGTGATGTGTTATATTAGTTTCAATTAGTTTCAGAAATATTCATTATTAAATTTGATGAAAAAGACGACTGATATACATTATATTTCATTGCAAGACAGGTTCTTTCCCCCCAATTAAATCCTTTAACAGAACAACAGCTAATGGCTGTATATAACCTGCAACAATCATCTCAACAAGCTGAAGATGCTCTTTCACAGGGATTGGACAAACTTCAACAGACACTTTCTGAAACAATAGCAGCTGACCCTTTGAGCGCTTCAGGAATGACAAATTATATGGGACAAATGGGACAAGCAATGGGGAAGTTAGAAGCTCTTGTGAGCTTTGTCGATCAGGTAATTAGTCATTATGTAAAAGCAGATCTTCTATCATAAAGAAAAAAAAAACTAATCACCAAATCGTTACAGGCTGATCACCTTCGTCAAGAAACATTACAGCAAATGTATCAAATTCTAAAGACACGGCAGGCAGCGCGCGGCCTGCTTGCTTTGGGTGATTATCTGCAGCGCCTTCGTGCTCTGAGCTCATTGTGGGCGGCACGACCTCGAGAACGAATTCAAGATTATTGAAATATTATTTAACTATGCATAGTTGTATATATTAGACAAGAATGAGATGGCATGATTGTTATTGAAGAAAAAAAGTGATAGTCATAATGGAAAACTTTGGTAGGATAGCAATTTGTACATAATTCCCAGTATGCCTGATTTTTGCAGTATATTGTCGATTGCCTTTGTAATTGCTTGTTGTGTAATATGTCTGCAAATATATCATTAAGTTGCAGAGAAGAAAGGCCTTCATGGGATTATTATGTGGTGTATTTCTTCCTTGTGGAGATCAATTTTGCAGGCACTTTTCACTACCTTTTTTGCATCAACCTTAATATTTTATTTATTATTTTATCAATTTGTTGATGGTACAAGATAGATGCAGATATTTTATAATATCAAATTATGTAGTATCCATCACATGCAGGATAAGTCAAACTATGTAGTTTCCCATTTGATTATATTTCATATGTTCTGTTTTTTTTTGGGAAATTTTGGAGCCGAAGCTCATGAAAATTATAGGTAAAAAGAAAGCTGTAAGGGTAACTCCCAAAAACTCAGGAAAAAAAATAAGAGAGCACCACTTAATACATCAGAAATCAGTATATCCAAGACTGGCAGAGAAAAAAACCCACCGACCCAAAAGTAGCCCCGGTTGCCACAGGCCAGCAAAAAGGAACCAAAGTCAGGCGTAAGGGCCATCCAAGGGGCCAAAGAAAATCGTCAGGATAGCCAGTCCCGCAGTGCTCTAGAATCATCATTGTCCCGGCTAAAACCATCTAGCAAAACAATTTAAAAAACACTGACCACCACAGCAAAATTCAAAAAATTCCAGCCTATTTCTATTTGAGCCTATCAGCATACTTCCAAGACTTCATTTTCCCTATGATAATGGATTTAATACCATCAGCCACAGCCGCAGGAGAAAGCCAAGCATTAGAGAAATGTCTGTTGTTTCTCTCCCTCCAAATTTGATAAACAATGTAAGCCATGATAGAGAAACAAAAGTTTTTCTCTAAAGTTGAAGAAATAAAGGTAGAATCCAGAAAATCAAATGCGAGAAGCAGATTAGGCCTTAACAAAAAACTATGGAATAACGGCAGCACCAATACCAGCACAGAAAAGGTAAAATCACATTCAAAAAATAGGTGCTGATGGGTTTCCCGGTGAGATTTGCAGAAGGAGCAATCTGCAAAGACATTAATTCCTCTCATAATAAGAATGTCAGCACATTTCAGTTTTCCTATCAGAGCCATCCAAGTGAAACAGGCAAATTTAAGAGAGGCTTTTTTGTGCCAGATAAAATCATGCCAGTGAACCTTCTCTAAATTAGAGTAAAATAGATGTGTGAATTGCTTAAAACTAGGGATGCAGGAACCATCCCACATCAAAATAAGTTGCTCCAAAATACGAATATTCAAGATGGTTGCCTTAACATCAGGAGGAAAGTAATTCGGTAAAATCCAGGCACCATTAATAATAAAATTCTCAACATTAGCAAGATTCAGCCTCACATCAGAAAAAAACATCACCTAATAAATTTTCGTTAAACCACGGATCTCAGAAGAAAGAATAACAACAATGGGAACCAACCAAAAATGTGAGGCAGTGCTTGACAACAGTAGCCTGAGAGTAGATCCATTTCCAGAAGTTGGAAGAAGAAGTGGGATAAGATTTCCAAGGAGAAACAAACTTAGCTTTAAATCATTTCCCCACAAGACTGTTAGAATTATAAAACTTCCATATGAAAGACAAGCCACACCAAAATAATAAGCATCAATGTTCTCATGATATTATTATCTACACATCCTTATAATTCAGCACAAACTGAAACTTTGTTGGATTATTGATTACTGTGTATCTCTGTCATCTAGGACAAGACCAAAATTCAGTGATGTCCTACACGTACAAATCTGTCAACATTCAAGCCTCTAGCATCAATGTCTTGGGCATCTATCTTATGGATTTAAAGCAGCCTTTCAGATTTAGGTTTTGTTTGGGATGACTTTCTTGCTACTTAAAGTAGCTTTTTAGTACAATTTTTAATTTTTGAACTTAAAAGTTACTTTAAAAAGTAAGAAAGTCTTCCCAAACGGAGCATTAGTTGTATAAATTTTTCCAAAATATTCAGTAAAATGTCTTCTACTAATCTAAAGCTGACGATCCACTTTTCACCAAAGTCGCAAGTAATTCTTTTCATCAAATTATCATGAAATTCTCTTAAAATCATTTTATCAATGTAGGTGATATAATTATAAGAAGAAAAGATGGTTATGCCATTGTTGCACTCTGTTAGTACCTTCATCATCTTTTCTGATATCTTACAGGTGAAATTTGGACGAGGATTATTTTTCAGCCAAAGGAAGTTTATTATTATAACAATCATGACATGTTGATCGGGATTGATATTCGATCATGCTTAGCTTTAGTATTGGAAACAAACAATCATGTCGAGGTCCTCATTGCTTTTAAGAAATTTTTAAGATTGAAAGTTATTTTTTATAACTAGATTAACTAATTATTTTTTTCATAATCAATTTTATAAAATGCTGAAGCAGTCATCAAAGGTCAGAGTTGATATATCCTTAAAAAATTATTTTGATCAAGCACGAATCTCGAGGCAAAATCAATCAGGAAACTTCAAAAATTAAATCTAGGAGCTCCCGAACTCCGACTTCAACGAGCTTATAGTCAAACTGAGCGTCTCGAAAATACGAACCCAACGACACCAAATTCAACTCAATCCCATCCCAAATGAGCCAAAATCAAGCACCCGAAGCGTTGTTGGAAAGCTCGTACCACAATTTGAGTTATCAAACGGTCTCCGATTTTAACGAGCTTATAGTCGAATCGAACGACTCGACGAGATGAATCCAACGAGCCCAAGATCGTTGGATCCCGACATCATTAAGGCCTTCAAATATCTAACGAACGGTGTACGATCAAGGGATTCAATATCACCCGTCCATTCGACTACTCCCTATTTTGCCCCTGATCTCACACCTATTTATGAGCTATGCCACTCCAAAAAACTATAAATAGACCCCTCATTTCTCATAAGAGGAACCCCAAGCAAGAAGAGGAGAAGAGGAAGAGAAGAAGAAGAAGAGAAGAAGAAGAGGAGAATTAGCTCCTCCTCGACCACCGTCGGAGTTCTTCCCGCTGCCTAAATAACGTCGGAATTCTGCCGGATATTCAGATGACGACGGAACTGTGCACAACTTTGTAACTGAATTTCAATTCAGAAGAAACTCATTGTAATATGACCGTCCTAACTTGTGGGATGAATTAGCTTCTTGTATCTTAAACTACACTAGTGGAACTTTTCAACTGGGCGTGGTCCCGTGGTTTTTCTCCTTTTAGGGTTTTTCACGTAAAAATCCTGGTGTTCTTTCATCTTCTGTTTGTGTGTGCTAGATATTCGTGCAACGCTCAGACGAAAAATCTCTAACTCTACCGCCGTGTATATTCTAGCCCGCAACAAGAGTATCAGACCATGGCTTAATTCTATAACATGTGAACGTACATAGCTCAAGGATATGTTAGATGACTTGCAGTTAGTGGACTTAACCAACCAAACTATTTTATGACAGTGAAATAGCATTTTGCATTGCTGCAAATCAAGATTTTCATGAACATACCAAATACAGTGATTGATTGGCACTTTTACCAAGAACAAATATAGTCCAGCTTTATGATGACAGCTCAATGTTCTATCCACTTGCCAGCTTGTTCGATAAGGCACTCAACTCTTCCACCTTTTATTCTCTTCTAGATAAAGTTAACATTCTAGACACCTGTTCTAACCATATTGAAAGTATATTAGAAAAAATATCAATGAATTCAACAATATTCATGCCCTACTTTTTGAAGGACTAAGAAACTATCGTATGGTGTAAAATATTGAACGACTGATGCAAAATTATATCATGTACTTGACATTGATGACAACTATGCATAATATCAATGCATCCATTAATCATAGAAGACCAATAATATCTTAGTTTTTTTATCATAAGTCGCATCTTTTAGTTAGATTGATCAGCACTACACATTCTGGTATCTTCCGAGCTTAATATTTGTTAAGACAACACAACTATATCTAATCAATTGATTGATGGTATATATTCTTTAAATCAAATTTGATCACATAAAGTTAAAATCTACTTGAAATTTGAAGTTGTTTCAAATGAGCTTCAAATTGCGATCAATATTGTCACACGTAATCTAACCCAATAGGATATTCAAAGCTTCCTCATGAAGTCTTGATCAGATATTATCATTTAAAAAAGTTGCTTATTATGAAAAAGGAGAAGGTATTAGTTACTGGAGTGAGTTGTAAAGATTATTAAAGAATAAAGATCCGTGGCATTGTCATTTAAAGTTAAAAGTTGAAGTCATTAACAAAATATAACATAGAGCATGATATTAAAAAAAAAAGCTTCAGTCAGTCAATGATGGGAACTTTTATTACATTCGGTGCAAGGACGTAGAGGAACGTCCGGTCGGAGCCAAATTTTCGCCAAAAAACTCGGTATTTTCTCGGTACAACTAGGTATTATTTGATAATAATGATGAATACCGCTTTTTGAAGACCAATACCGAGTTATACTGAGCTATATCGAGAAATACCAAGTTGTACCGAGTTTTTTCTAGAAAAAACTCGGTACAACTTTTGTATAACTCGGTATTGCTCAAGATAGCTCGAAATAACTCGGTATTGGGTCTTCATATGATGTTATTCCTCGTTATTATTTGATATTGCTCGGTATTTACTCAGTACAACTCGGTATTTGACGGGAATTTGCCTTCGACTGGACGTTCCTCTACGTCCGGTCGGAGGACGTAATAATTGTTCCAATGATGGGGATTAATGACCAACGATAGACAATAACTTATATTCGAAGATATCATCACACAAAATTTTCTATTAATATTTCAGTGAATAATATCTGCTCTTTATTGATGTGAATTATCCTTTTTTTTAATCTACATTAAAGTTGTTTAAATGGTCATTTTATTTGCGGATAATGGGATGCTCAATAAAAAGAATACAATATAAATTATATGTAGTATTTTTTAAATATTTTTAAATTGCTTAGTTGCGTGTAAATAAATGTATGATGTCATTTTTTGTGTTTGATTTAAAGTAAAATAAATTTATTATTAAGAATGATAGTGGTAGTGTTGGTGATAATGTACTGGGCAACAGTGGCATTGTCTTGTGGCTTATAGTCGTGATGTTCAGTGGCAACGGTGGTTGTGATAGCTAGTGGCAATAACTTGCAGTGTATTCAAAAATTGACCAAAGTTG